CCTTCTTATCTACACTTTATTGTCATACTCCGAGTTCGAGGAGCATGCGGGTTGGCCTCGTATGGGCAAGAACTGTATGAACGGGGACGTAAACAGGTCAAAACTATCCTAAATGATTCATTGCTCCATTCGTCATCACCAGGCCAAGTTTACCGTACACCGCCTCGAAAACCAGAAATCCCCGGGGCAGGAGGAGGAGATGATACGGATATGGGTCAAACACAATTGGTCACACACGGTCTGCTCATGCTTTGCGACCTGGCCGGATTTGACACGTGGAATCCGAGTCAGACCGTACCATTAATCCTGTCCAGCCCATTCAATCTAACCCCCACACAACAGCCTGTGGGACATACACAACCGCGAGGTTCGCAACTGATTGCCCCGCTTCGCGTGAGTCAAGGACGAAACGATCTCAAACCGATCAGACCCCGGGAATCGGAGGTGGCCCCGGGAACCGAGAGTGAACATCATACTCAATCCTGTTCCGGTGTGATCCCACCACCAACAGCTGGTTTAGTGATGCATCATCTGTCCCATGGGATCGGCACAGAACCGGATTCGCTGGAAAACAAGTTCGTTCTATGAATTACTTTGAGTGCTAGGCTTCTATGATCCCGTTCAATTTTCGTACGAAATATTCACCATGAATGGCCTTATTATTATCTTTTTAGTTTGTTCATATGCGTGAGTTGGAGCAAGGGTGAAACAGCTTTGCGGTGTTTATTGCCAGTCAGTACCCAATAATTTCCAACGCATATTAAAAAAGTGTTTTGTTTATTCCTTGAATATTGAGAGCGCTTCGTATTGATTTTTATAGGGGAAAAAATGTATTGAAAAAAAGATCGAAAAGATCAATGAACAACCCCGAAGATCTGTCCAACTAGGATTGGCTATCAGTTTATTGGCAAATTCCCTATTCATGAACCAGGTTATAACAATGTCTGGTCGAGCTAGGTGTACCGAATTGAATCGAAATAGTAGTCTGGGAACCGGACAGGACAAAACATTAACGTGTAAATTGTCCATCTGTGGTTGAATGGCCGACCATAAACAGATGTTTCAAATGGGAATTCGTCGTGTGTATAGCAAATGAAGCGTGAACTGAAAACTGAGGTCCCGGGTTCGATCCTTAGTTGGATCGATGGATTCGCACCGCAGATGAGACCAAACCAGGTCGAAACAGCTGTCCAGTGCTTCCTAGCTTTTCAGTTCACGCTTCGTTTGCTATAAAATCAACGAATTCCCATTTGAAATGTATTCAAATCCTTCATTACTCACATGAAACAAACAGATGTATTGTTGTACCAATCTCCCCTGGTCAGAATTAATCCGGATTGAGTTATTTCTGCTGGATTATCGTTTGTTTATCCAACGGGTACAGATCGCTCGTTATAATAATTTTCTTTCATCACCGAGCTGTTTTATTGCACTTTTTAAGGATGAAAAGCAAATAGTGTAAACCCCATAGTCACGAGGATCTGTTATTCAGTGATGGAAACCGGTAACCCAAGCCTTAGGGCTTGGACGGCTGAAACACATAAGACCACTCTAGATTAGGCGTAGTATTAAACCGAACGACAGCAAAGCTGCCTCCCACCAAAGTTGGGTGGTGGCGGTGGGGCTCGAAGCTCGGGTTATAGGGTCACCAGGTGTTCAGGGTCTAGTATTTGCATAAAACTCTCTGGATGAAAACCCTGGCATTGGCTTACTGCTGAGAGCTATAGCTGATTGGCGTCAACGTTGGTGCTCGTTTATCCTTTTTGCGAACATCCGTTTTACTCCAAATCCGTATCGTTCATCGTGGTACTACTTTCAGTTTCTCGTTTGGTTTTACTTTTTCATGGATCGGATAGATGGGTAGCTCATGGATAGAAAACAAAGGCAGC